AATGTTGTAAATTTTCCAGGATTTTTTTGAAAGTTCTGGGAATTTTTGGAAAGTTTTCGGAAATTTACCAGAAATTTTCCACCCCTTTGCAATCCTAATAATACCAATAAATTTTGACCTTCTGGGGATAGAATATACAGTTTGTACAGTATAAAAATAATTGTGTATGGAATGTGCCCTTAATGTTAGGAATACCAGAATGTGTGTGCTAAATGTAGATAAACGTCTTGTCACATGGTTTGAACAGTCAGAGTCATTATAGATAGATAAATAGATAGTATGAAAAATAACTATATTTTCACCATTGTTGTTTTCTTCTGTGTTTTGTGGTTTCTGTTGTTGTTAAAATAATCACGTCATCCGCAGCTCTTAAACTTGGCGCCGGCACGCGTCCAGAGAGAGAGAGAGAGAGAGAGAGACTTTTTTTGACTTTTATGGTCTCTTTATTACAAAAAGTTAAAAAAAATTTAGATTGACATCAAAAGAGAAAAAAAAAAAAAAAAAAAAAAAAAAAAAATTTTGGCGCAAGTTTATAAAACAAACATTACTCAAATATAAATTTGCAAACCTTCATCAGAGTCAACTTCACAAATGCATTGATTAACTTCCCATTTATATTTGAACATCTGCAGATCATTTATCACCTTATAATAACTATACTCTATACTAATACGGGATTTTATTAATCCCTTCAATATTGAAATAGCATCAGTTGATCCTTTATCATTCAATTTACTTTTTCTTGACAACCATATAGCCATCTTTGCTTGCCCAAATAAGAAGTTTAATAAAACATGACTCCTCATTTTACTTCTGCTGTACTTTGGCCCAAAAATAAACCTTGCAGGTGCAAATAATTCCCCCAAAGTTTGACACCACTCTTCCATTTTATAAAATAATGGTTGTAATCTCCCACAATTAAAAAATAAATGGAAGACAGTTTCTTGTGCTCCACAAAAAGGACAGCCCTCCCCAACCTGTGGATCGAGGTGTGCTCTGTGTCTGTTTGTGGCTATTATACCATGCACAATCCTCCATTGTAGGTCTCCAGTTCTTTTCTCAATGGGAGGTTTGTACAAGGTCCTCCAGCAACCTTTAGGGGAAACGCTTGATCCAAAAAACTCTTGCCATTTAGACTCTTTCACATTCTGAAGCTGAAGAAGATGTGACACCTTTACACACAGTACATAAATAGCTTTCTTTCCAGCATTTCTAAAAAAGTCCCAACTGGGGTGTCTTAAAAGAAAGCAAACCATTCTCCATTTCTTCAACGTCAGCTGAAAAATTCAGGTCTGGGAAGACAGAAGTCTCCTCCTCTCCAACCGGTGTCTCTAATGACAGTCTATAATCAGTTGGTAAAAACTCAAAGATTTGAGTCAACAGTCTATCTGCCACTCGAACTGATCTCATGCCCAGTTTTTTAGCCAAGTTTTCAGCAGAAATCCATCCTTCCTCAGAAACAAAATGTCCGATTTTGGTAATATTTGCAGTCCACAACATTTTTCTGAGGGATCCAGATTTAAAAGAGTCTAAATCCAGTGCTTTATTAAAAAACAATGGTTCTTCTCTCAGCCATAGCCCCTTCACACCATTTGGCTCCCGAGAGAAACTGAAAAATGTCCATGTTTTTAACATTGATCTCCCTGTCTTTTTGTCTTGTCTAAGACCACTAATATGTTTTTTTTTAGACGATACCGCTTCTGTTGTGAGAGCTCGTCATAGCTACTCACCTTCCTAGCCCACATCACCTACGCAATAAATTTGTCCATATCAGGAAAGTAATTACTTACTTCAATGCCAGTTTTACCTTTAGTTTTATCAAGAAATGCATAAATTTCTTCAACAGTATACAAATCTTTATCAGTTCCTCTTGAGCCCTCTGTCCACTGTTCATCATCTCCTAATCCATCATCCGTACACTGGGATAAACTATCCATCTCATCAACCATATTTTCCTCTAAGCTTTCAGCCTGTGCCACATCATTAACTTCACACACATATTCCACACCACTCTGTGCCTCACTCTTATCAATCTCATCTGTTACATCTCCATGTTTATCAGAGACAGAACTACATCCAGCTTGCTCCACACTCATAGCATTGTTTGGCATATAGCGCTGAAAGATATTTACAATAAACGACCCTGAGCGCTTGTTATGTGATCCGCTCCACTTTTTTGACACGCTGCTCACTTACTGTGTTACGGCTCGCAGTCCGGATGGATGCAGGGGTGCGGATGCGGTCCGCCTTTTGAATATCAGTTATATAAGTATTTAAGGATAAAAGACTCGAGTTGCTTTTAAAATTTTCACGAGTCCTTTTACTCGAGTCGAGTCAAGTCTGTGGAGTCATTTCAGGTCGAGTCTGAAGTCTATAAAAATGCGACTCGAGTCCGAGTCACTAACTCGAGTGCCCATCTTTGGTGTGTGCGTGTGTGTGCACAGTATATACACTGTCTGTGTGTATGTATATGTATGTGTGTAATGGAAAACCTTTATCATTTTCAGATCGATTCCAAAAGAGCCCGAGACATCACAAGGAGCCTAGCCAAGATGATTGTTACTGACTTGCAACCAGGTTCAATGGTTGCAGGATGCAGGTTTCCGTCATTTTATGAAGGTTCTTGATCCCTGATATCCTGGGTAGGAAATCTTTGATGTCTAGTGAAATTCCAAAGCTCTACGAGCAAGTCAAAACCACACTGAAGGACTCCATAAAATCTGCAAGCAGTGTGGTTTTAACAAGTGACATGTGGACATCAAGAACAACCGAAGCCTGTTTGACTGTATCAGGACATTTCATTGACCACAACTGGCAGATGCAGGCTTGCACTCTTGAGACAGTCCATGTAGCTGTCACGATCCCTGTCCGGTCTACCCTGTATTTTGTTCATGTACTTTTATGTTGAAGTGTTTCCTGTGTTCCACTTGTATCTGTATCACTTCCTGTGCTTAGGTCCGGTCTCCATTGTTTCCTAGCCTTGCTTGTTTGTCTCCATAGTGATTAATCAGCCCCTCTCCCTTGTTATCTTGTTAAGATAGTTAACCCATTCTCAAAAATGCAACCATGTCTGCCAGGCAGAAGGATAACACTTATTACAGTTTGCAACAAACACTGTTGAAAACATTGAGCACAACTATACTCTTGCAGTCAGCAATGTTTTTGGACAATAGGTTAAAAAACATTGTGTTTTGTGATACTGGAAATGTAGAAACCATAAATCACGGCTTATCAGTGAGATGCAAGCCCTGCACAGACAGGCAACAATCAGTGAACCCTCTGCATCAACCACCTCTATGGGAACAGCCTTGTCAGTGCCACGAGAGTCACCTGCTGCAAACACTGAAAGGAAGGGTGCAGACTGTTCAACATCCAAAGGAGGATTATGTCCGGAGTTTGACACACGTATGTTGGCTTTCCAGGGCAACCGCACAGCCAAAACAGACACATACATCGAAATGCGCAGATATATGGAAGAAAAGGTGATCCCAAGAAGTGAGGACCCTTTGCAATGGTGGGGAAAAAAAAGAGAACAAGAGGCTGTTTTCTAAGGCAGCAGAGGCAATTAGTCAAGAGGCGAAATCGGCTGAAACCAAAAGATGTTAACATGTTGCTTTTCTTAAACTCTAATCTAAAGCTAAAATATTAGGAAATCTTTATCAACAATTACAGTGATCTTATGGTATCTTTCTGAGCATTGATAAATACTACAAAAATGTACAAAGTTGAAGATAAAGAAAAAAATTGTTCGTTTAAAATTAAGAAATAAGTGTGCACAGTTTTCTGTTGTTGGTATCTGGTTTATTTTATTAAGATTTTTGTTATATAATAAATTTTTTTTTTGTAAAATATGTAGATAGTACAATAATTTTGAAGAAAATATGTTTGTTGATGGTAGTTTATTTTATTAATAATAATAATAATAATATAAAATAAAATATAATAATAATAGGTTGTTTAAACATTTTGACGTATTTGTTGTCTCATTTGCTTTTCTAATAAATGTGTTATTAAAGGCCAGTATGTGTATGTAATTTGCCTTTACGTGTAATTCTTTTTTTTCAAAAAATTAACACGATTTTTAAAAATCACTTTCACATTTAAAATAATAAGTGGTATAGGTAAAATTGTAACAAAAAGTATCTGTATCAGATCACATTAAAAAAAAAGTGGTATTGCCCTTCCCTAATGTGAATCAAATCAGAGACATGAGGGTGCAAGCTTATGCAGAGTTTAAAAGTAAAACGTAGGATTCACAGGAAGTCTGTGCAAATGACAAAGAACAGAAGAGGTGTGTTCAGTGGAAGACAATCAAGTAATTATGTGGGCAGCTGAATTTTAGACCAACTAAAGTTTATGGAGAAGCTTGAGACATAAACCAAATAGGACATAGTTACAATACTACTAACAGAGTTACAATACTAGTTAAAATACTACAATGCTACACTACTATTAATAATAATAACAACAACAACAACAACACATTTTCTCATGTAAAAATGGGGCTTTATAAAATATGTAAACAAATAAACATTTATTTGTTTACATGATGTGGGTAAATGACCAACTAGAGCTGCACGATTCTGGATGAATTGAGAATCACAATGTTTTTTTTATGACAAAAGTCAAAGGTTGAGCAATGGTTTAATAATCAAAAGTTCTATAGTCTGGCACAGGGGTGTCCACACTTGGTCCTGGAGGGCCGGTGTCCTTCAGAGTTTTGCTCCAACTTTCCTCAACACACCTGCCGGGAAGTTTCTAGTATGCCTAGTAAGACCTTGATTAGCTGGTTCAGGTGTGCTTAATTAGGGTTGGAGCTAAACTCTTCAGGACACCGGCCCTCCAGGACCAAGTTTGGACATCCCTGGTCTAGGGTATTTGTTATCATTTAGAAATAAGATTGCGTGGATGATTGAATTGAGATCACAATCCTGCTATTTAAATCAGAAGCATAAAATAAGGGCTTTAGAAGATGAATAAATACAAAAACACAGACTCACAGTGTAGAGTGATGTTAACAGGATGATAGTACTCTCCAGATTTAGACTCACACCAGTACACTCCAGTGTCATATGGGGAGGTGGTTCTGATTGTACAGGTAGATCCTGTTTGTGATCTCCACACTGATGAACAATCTTCCAGCCCCCATCTCTCTGTGTATCTTCTCACTCTCCATCCAGTAGAGTTACTCTGGTCCTCACAGCTCAGAGAGAAAGAAGCTGATGTGAAGTGTTGAGTTCTGCTGGGACTGACGATCAGAGAGACTGGAGGAGAATCACCTGAGAAGACAATTACAGCAACAGTTTAGAAATCAAGTCAAGACAGTTTTATTGATAACAATGATATAACACAAATAGTTTCAAAGCAGCTGTGGCGAGGGGGCGTGGTTCAGCAAGGTCTGCAGCTGGAGAGAGAGAGGGGAGATGAGCAGTGAGTCAAGCGCAAAATGACAACACCTGTGTCTGATTGCAGTAATTGGCATATAGAGACCGGATAAAAAGCCACCGGGAAACAGGAGCTGTGAAAATCCGAGAAACGCAGTACTTGATCTGAAAAGTGACTGTTTATGGAAATGCACCCGTCCTGTCTAGGGTTGCAAAGGTGTGGAAAATTTCTGGTAAATTTCCGGAAACTTTCCAAAAATCCCTGGAAGATTAAAAAAAATCCTGGAAAGTTTCCAAAATGTTCCACTTTTTTGCAACCCTAGTCCTGTCCATCGCACGGAGCATTGCTTTGCATTAGTCCTGGTGGATTACGCAGCGCGATACCCTGAGACAGTCATAGTATTTCCTCAAAAAGCGTAGCGGATGCGCTGTTTCGTGTAATCTCCCGAGTGGGAATCCCGAAGGAGATTTTCACTGATCAAGGCACACAATTTAGGTCACGAACCTTCTGAGAACTTTATGAGTTATTGGGCAATAAATCGATTAAAGGGGTCATATGATGCAATTTCAATTTTTCCTTTCTCTTTGGAGTGTTACAACAAATGGGTGTAGCTCAGTCATTTTACATCCGATTCCAACAAATTATATCATTTTGAAGGTTTTTTAATGGAGAATGATAATAAAAATAACTAATTTTGAAAATTTGCTCATTGTGACTCATTTTGCCAAAAAAAAAAAAATTCTTGATTATTTAGTTATCATTTTCATTAGTGTAATGAATTACATTATTGCATGTATATAAAATAAAATAATAATAAAAAACATTGACAGGTACAAAACTCTGTTTGGATAGATGCTGAAATGTACAACATACACATCAAAATCTTCAGTGAACACTGCACACAATGTTAAAAGAAACACTAAAGTAGTGTTGAAGTTCACAAGATGAATGATCAAATTAAATGATTGTTATATAAAATAACTGATTATTGAGCATTTGGTAAAATCAACTGCAAGTCAAACACATTAAATCTCTGAAGATCTCAGCAAAGGATTATTAAACAACTCCACATACAGCATCACCAGCTTCACTCATTACTAACCAGACTGACTTTAATTCTGTCAGACGTCTAGTGAAACTCTTATTGAGAATTAACAGAGGATTAGATGTTATTTATTTCATTTGAAGTCACCATTGTGGTGGGCTGTGTTTGCTTTAGTTGGGATCTTGGTCCTCGTACTTCTTGTGTTAGCTTTTCGTTGGCTGTTGTAACTGTGTGTTTGTAAAGCACAGTTGTTGTAGCAAAGAAAGCCACGATAGAATGGGATCAGGTACTATCTTCCTATCTTGCTGGTGATGATAAAGTCATCACAAAGCATGTGTCTAACAGCCTTAAAAGTTCATCAGTAGTTGTAATGGTGTTTTGTTTTTAATGTTATAATCACATATCCTGAAAGTGGATACAATGCTATTTTGAGCAAGTGCATCATGTGGTCACACACACAGACATCAAGATTTTGCATATGAATCACCACAGTGGTTACAATCAAAACCAAAAAAGCTTGGGAATCCAGGATGTGAAATTAAGGAAGAATCAAGTTTTGTACTATGAAGCCACCCATCATGCATTGTGCAGCATGAAGCTTTTTCGTTTTGATTGTCACCGTTTTTGTGATTCATATGCAAAATCTTGATGTCTGTCTTCAGGATGTGTGATCATTTCAATGCTATTAGTGCCGATACTGCAGTTTCACAAGGTTGGTGGCTATAAATGCCAAAGTTAACCAAAATTAAAAACAAAACGCCATTACAACTATTGATGAAATTTTAAAGTTATTAGATGCACATTTTGTTATGACTTCATCATCACCAGCAAGATAGGAAGATAGTACCTGATCCCATTCTATCTTGGCTTTATTTGCCACAACAACTGTGCTTTACAAACACACAGTTCCAGCAGCCAAAGAAAAGCTAATGCAATAAGTACGAGCACCAAGATCCCAACTAAAGCAAACACTGCCCACCACAATGGTGACTACAAATGAAATAAATATCAACATCTAAACCTCTGTTAATTCTCAATAAGAGCTTCTGTAGATGTCTGACCGAAATAAAGGCAATCTAGTTAGTAATGAGTGAAGCTGGTGACGCTGTGTGTGGAGTTGTTTAATCATCCTTTGCTGGGACCTTCAGAGATTTAATGTGTTTGATTTGCAGTTGATTTTACCAAATGCTCAATCATCAGTTATTTGATAATTTAATTTGACTAACTACTTTAGTGTTTCTTTTAACATTGTGTGCAGTGTTCACTGATGATTTTGCTGTGTATGTTGTACATTTCAGCATCTATCCAAACAGAGTTTAGTACCTGTAAATTTTGTTATTATTATTATTTTCTTTTATTTACATACAATCATGAAAAATGTTTTGCAATTTTTAATTTATTATTATTCCACAAGTGTCTGTATTTTATGTATGTGGCTAAGCGCAGCATAAGTGGTTTAGTGGGAAATGCTTTCTCCTCACGGCAAGATCTCTGGTTCAAGTCCCAGCTGAGCCAGAAAGTCTTTCCTTCAGATCTGGTTTCCCTCACAATCTAAAGATGTGTGAATTACAGATGCTTAATTGTCTAAATGTGTAACTGTGTGTTTTACTGCCTATTGATGGATCCATGGCTGAGTTTTTTTTGGCTTTTTTTATGGCTCAGTTTTGGGGTTTCTGGTTAAAGACTGGTCTCTATGTGTCTGGGCCAAACAAGGGCCGTAATTCTTTGCTGCATGTGGGCCGAGTGTAACTGGTTGTTTGGCCCAGAGCTGGGCCAGACGACAGTTGCTATGTGGGTTGTGGCGGTTATGGTCGATGAGACGAATGACTTCAGTAAAACAGCGCAGCTCTCATATGTCCTCAGGTACGTGACTGAAATGGGGGTAAAGGAGAGATTTTTTTAAATTTGAGAACGTTACAGACAAAAAACGAGCCCAGGATCTAGCCGGGTTGGTTCTGGATATGCTGGAGAGCTACAACTGTAAATTAAAATTAGTGGCTCAGTGCTATGTTGTAATGGCATGGGGACTAGATTGAGTACAGGCTCGCGTAAAAGACAAGTCCCCCAGGTCCTCTTCGTGCATTGTTATGCACACACTTTGAACCTAGTGATGTCCCAGGGAGCATCAAAAATTTAAGAATGCAAGGTATTTTTTGCAAATCTCCGTGGATTATCTTTATTTTTTATTCGTTCTCCCAAACACACAAAATTACTGAATGAGATTTGTCAAAGACGGCTGCCACATGTAATGCAGGTGAGGTGGAAATTTAATACCAGACTAGTGTGCACTGTCCACGACAAAAGAATTGGGCTGGTTTGAGCTTTTCCAGCACATCCTTGACCACACTGAACATTTTGACTGGGAAACTGTACACTGTGCGTCTGGACACCTGGCACACTTAAAAAAAAATTTTTTTGTTTCTTGTTTTTTTGCTTTACTGGCATTTTCGACATTGCTGGTGTGCTCTTTGGGATTCTACAAAGCAAGACTTTAGACGTCTGGCCAGAATTACAGATTTTCAGTGTTGAATTACAGTGTTGAAAAGGAGGGAGAGCTAAGTTCGATGACATCTTTGAAAACGCCGTACTGGCGGTGGGACAGCAAAGCACACCGCATGGAAAGCCTGATGCTCACTCCCACTACAGAGAGCTTCACGTAGCTGTAATCAATAACATACTCACACAAATTAGGAACAGATTTGAAGATCACAAAAGACTGATGTTTGTTGGATTACTAGATTCTGAGCAGTTTGATAAATTCAAGCAGACATTTCCAGAGGCAGAGCTCAGGAGTCTGATGCAGAACTACTGTACGGTGGACAGTTTGACCTGAACAGACTCAAACCTGAGCTCAAAGTCATGTATAACATGTCAAACTTTCGCAGTAAAAGTATAAGTGATCTCCTGAATTCTCTGAGGTTGACAAGCCTTGCAGACAGTATGGCAGAACTTTATGCACTCACCTGCCTGTTCCTAACAATCCCAGTGTCTACAGCCTCTGTGGAACACTAATTTTTGGCTCTCAAACAGATAAAAACCTATGCAAGGAACACAACTGCACAAACAAGGCTGTCTTCTTTGGCGTCTCTCTACACTGAGAAAGAATTGCTCAATCAACTGAAGCAAAAAGGACAACTGCATGATGTTATTGCCTATTCACCCTATTCTAGCCTACTGTTGAAATTGTTAATCAGATGTCTTTGTTGTTAAGAGCCTGTGGGCAGCATAATAAGTGCATTATTTGCATATGGCTGCATTAGCTATAACGTGTGTAAGATGTGTGTATGTGTTTTACAGTTGCTTACTGAAGGCCCTGACTGAAATCCCATGGTACACCACTGACTATAATGTTACAGACTACCACTAGCAACCGGCTGACAATGTCCCTTTAGTGGCTCTGTAGAACGTGTTATTCGTTTTATGTGCCTTTCTGAATACGGATTCACTATTCGGGCACATCCCTAGATAGTTTGCTTTTATTTCTTTGGTTCACTGTAATTATTTGGTGGAAGATGCAGCTCTACCTCTGCCATGTTAAATTTACATTCTATATGACTCTCAGGAAACGCGTCGGTCTCCGTAGTGTTGTGATACGTCATACTCACATAGCAGCAGTGGTGATGAGAGAACATGCTTGAGAAACAGTTTAGAGAGGAGAAATCAATCTACGTATAGAATATTGGTCACAAATTATTGGTCACTTTCTGAATACAGTTTTTTACAATCACTATGACAATTTTTTCAATACTTTTACAATTTTCCTAAACTCTTATCGCAGTTAGCACAACATCCATTAGTGTGTAGGCTATACAATTAACACATTTCTTGTTGCTTTGACACAAAATGCAT